TATTTTCTAACCTGCCTGATAGAAATTGCACAAATCTTTGTTCTGTTTAATTATTTTATTGCAGGCAGATTGTATTTAAATCAGGATGTCTCATCAGCATGTAGAATTTGAGTTTTCAAAGCTAGTTTAATCAGGAGGAAATAATAGTCACACAAATAACCAAGAACTTGTGCTTTGAACTTCTGCTATTTTATTGCCATCTTAGATCTTACAGGATTAAGTTCTGTTTATTAATATTTGCCTCTAGATTAATTTTACTTATTTTTATGAGTGCATGTTACCAATAAAGAATAAGATTTAGATAAGTCTGTGCATACATTTAACATATCTTGATTTTTTTATCCAATTCCTCCCTCTCCCTCCCCCAAACATCTGCCTCCTAGTTTTTCATCATCTCTCCTTTATTCTATTATCTATCTGTCTGTGGTCTGTCTATCTATCTATCTACTATCTGCATACTCAGAAGAAAAAACAAGTAGTATTTAACCTTATGAGTGTACTTTATTTCACTTAATATGGTACTTTTTAGCTCTATTCATTTTATTGTAGACTATGATTTCATTCTTCTTTATAGCTGAATGTTTCATTGTGTGTATGTCCCACATTTCCTTTGTGCATCCATCTGTTGACAGACATCGAAGTTTTTTCACAGCTGAGATAGTGTGAACTGCAATGCCTAGAGATGGGTATGGATGTATCATTGTAGTATGCTAGCATTATTTCTTTCAGGAATATACCCAGAAGTGACATAGCTTTTTCAAATGGTATTTGCATATTTTTATTTTGAGGAATCTTGATATTGATTTTCATAGTGATCATACTGCTTTATGTTCCCACCAACAATGCAGGGGAGTTCCTTTCATCCAGTATCCTTTCCAGAACTTATTTATTTTTATTCTTGAAGGTAGCCTTAGTGACTGAGGTTAGATGGGATCTCATTGTAGTTTTTGTTTGTATTTTTCTAATGGCTAGAGATATTAAACATTTTTTTCATATGCTTATTGGGTATTTGAATGTCTCTTTCTGAAAAGTGTCTTTTAAGATCATTTACCTATTTTTTGATTGGAGTATTTTATCTTGGGGGTTAATGTCTTGAATTCTTTGTGTAGCATAGATATTAATCCTTTTTCAGAAGAGCAGCTAGGAAAGTTTTTCCCCTCTTCATTGGATTTTTGTCCTCTACTGTTTCCTTTGGAGGGCAGAAGCTTTAATTTGACATAATTCATTACTCGATTCTTGATATAATTTCCTGTGCTTTTAAAATTGTATTCAGGAAGTCTTTGTCTGTGTCTATGCTTTTAAGTGTCTCTCATGTTATTTTCTACCAGTTTCAAATTTCCTGATTTTATATATAGGGGATTGATGCATTTTAATTTGATTTTAGTACAAGCTGAGAAATGGGAATACAGTTTCATTCTTCTGCATGTGGATATCCAATTTTCCCAGTATCATTTGTTCAAGAGGCTTTCTTTTCTTCAGCTTCCA